GCGCAAACCAGATGGGATGGCGTATCTCTGCAGAATGCTGTGGTAGCCATGCTGGTTAAGTGTGCCTTGAATTCTAAATAAATCACTGACAGTGTCACCAGCAAAGCACCATCAAACCTCCTCCTCCATGCTTCACGGTGGGAACCACACATGCGGAGATCATCCGTTCACTTACTCTGCGTCTCACAAAGACACGGCGGTTGGAACCAAAAATCTCAGTTGAACTCATCAGACCAAAAGGACATATTTCCACCGGTCTAATGTCCATCCAAGGTGAATGCACCAATTTGTAAGTCGCTCTGGATAAGAGCGTCTGCTAAATGACGTAAATGTAAATGCTCGTGTTTCTTGGCCCAAGCACGTCTCTTAGTATTGGTGTCCTTTAGTAGTGGTTTCTTTGCAGCAATTCAACCATGAAGGCCTCCTCTGATCAGTTGGATGTTGAGATGTGTCTGTTACTTGAAATCTGTGAAGCATTTATTTGGGCTGCAATCTGAGGTGCAGTTAACTCTAATGAGCTCTGCAGCAGAGGTAACTCTGGGTCTTCCTTTCCTGTAGCAGTCCTCATGAGAGACAGTTTCATCATTGCGCTTGATGGTTTTTGCAACTGCACTTGAAGAAACTTTCAAAGTTCTTGAAATGTTCCGTATTGACTGACCTTCATGTCTTAAAGTAATGATGGACTGTCGTTTCTCTTTGCTTATTTGAGCTGTTCTTGCCATAATATGGACTTGATCTTTTACCAAATAGAGCCATCTTCTGTATACCACCCCTACTTTGTCACAACACAACTGATTGTCTCAAATGCATTTAGAAGGAAAGAAATTCCACAAATCAACTTTTAACAAGGCACCCCAGTTAATTGAAATGCATTCCAGGTGACTACCTCATGAAGCTGGTTGAGAGAATGCCAAAAGTGTGCAAAGCTGTCATCAAGGCAAAGGGTGGCTACTTTGAAGAATTTCAAAAAATAAAATATTTTTTGATTTGTTTAACACTTTTTTGGTTACAACATGATTCCATATGTGTTATTTCATAGTTTTTGATGTCTTCGCTATTATTTTAAAATGTAGAAAATAGTAAAAATAAAGAAAAACCCTGGAAAAAGTAGGTGTCCAAACTTTTGACTAAAATTAAGTTTACTCAACTTCTAACTGGTACTGTAAGTAGAGTAGAGTCTCCTGAGTGGCGCAGTGGTCTAAGGCACTGCATCGCAGTGCTAGCTGTGCCACTAGAGATCCTGGTTCAAATCCAGGCTCTGTCGTAGCCGGCCGTGACCGGGAGACCCATGGGGCGGCGCGCAATTGGCCCAGCGTCGTCCAGGGTATGAGAGGGAATGGCCGGCAGGGATGTAGCTCAGTTGATAGAGCATGGCGTTTGCAACGCCAGGGTTGTGGGTTCGATTCCCACAGGGGGTATGAAAAAAATAATAATAATAATGTAAGTCGCTCTGGATAAGAGCGTCTGCTAAATGACGTAAATGTAAATGTAAAATGTAAGTATTCAGACCCTTTACTAAGAGACTCAAACTGAGCTCAGGTGCATCCTGTTTCCATTGATCATCCTTGATGTTTCTACAACTTGATTGGAGTCCACCTGTGGTAAATTCAATTGATTGGACATGATTTGGAAAAGCACACACCTGTCTATATAAGGTCCCACAGTTGACCGTGCATGTCAGAGCAAAAACCAAGCCATGAGGTCGAAGGAATTGTCCGTAGAGCTCCGAGACAGAATTGTGTCGTGGCACAGATCTGGGGCAGGGTACCAACAAATGTCTGCAGCATTGAAGGTCCCCAAGAACACAGTGGCCTCCTCCATTCTTAAATGGAAGAAGTTTGGAACCACAAAGACTCTTCCTAGAGCTGGCCGCCTGGCCAAACTGAGCAATCAGGGGTGAAGGGCCTTGGTTAGGGAGGTGACCAAGAACCCGATGGCCATTCTGACATAGCTCCAGAGTTCCTCTGTGGAGATGGGAGAACCTTCCAGAAGGACAATCTGCAGCACTCCACCAATCAGGCCCTTATGGTAGAGTGGCAAGATGGAAGCCACCCCTCAGTAAAAGGCACATGACATCATGCTTGGAGTTTTCCAAAAGGCACCTAAAGGACTCTCAGACCATGAGAAACAAGATTCTCTGCTCTGAACTATTTGGCCTGAATGCCAAGTGTCACGTCTGGAGGAAACCTGCCATCATCCCTACAATGAAGCATGGTGGTGGCAGCATCGTGCTGTGGGGATGTTTTTCAGCGGCAGGGACTGGGAGACTAGTTAGGATTGAGGGAAAGATTTAACAGAGCAAAGTACAGAGAGAGATCCTTGATGAAAACCTGCTCCAGAGCGCTCAGGACCTCAGACTGGGGTGAAGGTTTACCTTCCAACAGGACAACAACCCTAAGCACACAGCCAAGACAATGCAGGAGTGGCTTCGGGGCAAGGTTCTGAATGTCCTTGAGTCACCCAGCCAGAGCCCGGACTTGAACCCGATCGAACATCTCTGGAGAGACCTGAAAATACCTGTGCAGCGACGCTCCCCATTGAACCTGACAGAGCTTGAGAGGATCTACAGAGAAGAATGGGAGAAACTCCCAAGGTTGTAGCGTCATACCCAAGTTGTAAATGTATTATTTCAGGGTTTTTTAAAATACATTTTCAAAAATGCACTGTATTACCCATTTGCACAAGGCTACTACTTTTGCCTTCTTGCAATGCAATACTTCAACCACTAGAAACTGTGTGTATGCATGGTCTAAACAAGTTTGCGGGAAGATAAGCACATTCTCAGGTCAAGTTCAGTTTTTATGTATGCCAACTTTTATGTGAAAACTGGCGCACGCATGTTTTGGGGCATATTTGGGTATTTATAAACTCAACGTTTAGAAATGAGGCCCTGGTCAGTAGTAAGAACCTTAACAGAGCAATGACTGCCTCATCAATCATAGGGGTTTAGACCATTAATTAAATGACACATTTTATGAAATTATGTTCAGTGCTTCTCAGAATATTTATTTGAACTATTATTGTTGATTGTTTCTTGTAATGCATTTTAAACTGTACAGAAAATGCCTTTGCAGACGTCGATAGATAATCATCACAATATAACTTCTAAATAATCTTGTCTCTGTTATTATTTTTAAATACTAGGTAATACTGGCAGGTAGCCTAGCGGTTAAGAGCGTTAGGCCAGTAACTGAAAGATCGCTGGTTTGAATCCCCAAGCTGAGTAGGTGAATAATTTATCTATGCCCTTGAGCAAGGCACTAAACCCTAATTGCTCCTGTAAATCGCTCTGGATAAGAGTGTCTGCTAAATGACTAAAATGTAAAAGGCCTATGCCTTTACTGTGTACTGTTAACCTTGTGAGATTAGCAACACATATAGGCCAATAACTTGTAAATAATTGTCTCCATTTATTGCCGTTCTGAAAGTGTGATTATACTAAAAGCCTGGTTGATATTAATTAATTAAACTTGCAAAAAATTGCATTGTGTGAGATTTGTGAACATTTAATGTGATGATATTTCACATGAAGTTTCACATGTGGATATTTTTCACATGACATTTCACAGGAGATGCCCTGCAAACAAAAATGAGTCCTTATGATGTCCCACAGTGTTTTCAACGAATGTATTTGACACACTTTGACATTTTTATTTATACAGTAATTATTATTCAACATGTCCGAACCTGGGATTTGAACACACAACCTCCAATACTTGTTTTTTCACTATAAGCCAATATGAAATTCAGATAATAATAATAATATGCCATTTAGCAGACGCTTTTATCCAAAGCGACTTACAGTCATGCGTGCATACATTTCTGTGTATGGGTGGTCCCGGGGATCGAACCCACTACCTTGGCGTTACAAGCGCTGTGCTCTACCAGCTGAGCTACAGAGGACCAGATACAGCTATTTGCATTGTGGCCAATGGAGTGGGTGGAGTAGGGAGTCACCAGCACAAGAGACTCAAGTATTACAGATTATATTGCGCAAATCCAATAACGTAAATTTTTTATTTTATTAAAAGTGTATTTATTTTAATTATAGCCTACTTAACAGCTTTCAACATATAGTACCAGTATTTGTTTAAACTTTCAAAATAAATTGTTTTATTTATTTAACTAGGCAAGTCAGTTAATTCTTATTTACAATGACTGCCTACCCCGGCCAAACCCTCCCCTAAACCGGACGACGCAGGAACAATTGTTCTCCGCCCAATAGACTCCAGATCACGTTCAGACGTGATACAGCCCGGGATCGAATCAGGGTCTGTAGTGACTCCTCTAGCACTGAGATGCAGTGCCTTAGACCGCTGTGCCACTTGGGGGCATTATTTAAAATAAAAGTATATCAAAAAATGTATATTGTCCAATGTGGTTGCAATGCTGTGAAATACAGTTGTACGTCAATGCAAACAAAAAAACATCGATATTCCAAAATGTAGCATACCTTTGCAGGTGGACTCTTATTTTGAAAGAGAGAATCCGCGATCGTGATGCCAGCATATGTCCTGCTGCTAGGGAAATGGTAATATCGTTTTTCTAAACTTCGGGGCTGACGGGTATTCAACATCTCGCGCGTTTTCGCGTTTTCGTTTTGCATGGTCTGGTGCCCCGTGAGAGCGGATTATTATTTTTTTGACCATTCGATTGGTGCTTAAACAAATTCTCCACCCACCCGGGGAACCGGGCCATGCAAAACAAACTCCACCAATCTCGAACGCGTCTGGAATGGGTTTACTAAATTGAAGCAATAAGTATATATATTTTATTTGTACATTAGTAGGTCTATTTGTTTCCTTCTACTTATTTATGATACTTGTCTTGAAGCACTAATGTAGGGTATCTTGTGGAATGAGAAACTTTGAGGTACAACCAGCGCCAATCTTCATAATAGTAGAACAGTGGTCCTTTCTTGAAATTATATTTCTACGTTCGAAGCCCACGCGCATGCGTACATTCTAAAATACGATTTGCACAACGGTCTATCATCAAAGATGGCGGGAGCCTCCGACCCACTGGAGGACATGCTCTTCAATGAGGTAGACGAAAAAGCAGTAAGTGACTTAGTTGGCTCTTTGGAATCGCAACTTGTCAGCCAAAAGACTTCGCCCGCCACATATTCCGATATCAAGCGAGAAGGATCTACGGGCACTGGCAGCCAGTTCTCAGGGAAACTGCGTGATCAAGTGGGGTCTCTGGAGCCGCCACAACAAGGACACCCAAAAGCGGTGTTAAACGCGGAACCCAGCGCGAATCAGGCGATTTCCAATACGAGTATCACCGCTTCTACCTCTTCCATCACTACTGGAGGCATTATAAACGCTGGTACCAATTTACAAACACATGGAGCCGCATCTCGAATAATTTCCCCCGCACCACCAGGATCGGTAACTTTGCCTGCTCAGACGACAAGCTTCAACAGAGGGACTGTTTTGGGTCCAGCTGAAACATCGGTGGTGACTACTCCCAACTCAAACCTAACAACAACAACAGCTATCAGGACTGCTTCACCTGGATTACAGAGTTTTAACGGTAGCACTGGAGCTGTGAAGTTGGTCAACTCGCCAGCTGCTGCTCCCCAAATCGGGTCAGGCGGCAACACTGTTATAAGTACTGCCAGTGCGGGCAACTCTATCATTGTGTCTATGGCTTCACAGCCTCCTCCTCTGCCAAACTATCCTGTATCTCAATCTGCTGTGGCAGGTGTTACTCCCACTATTGCATTGCAAAGGCATCCCAACCCCATGGCCAGTGCCTCACAGAATGGAGTAGTTTCTGCAGTGGTCACACAGGGTGCAGGTTCTCCAGGGGCCACCACTTCTCAGGTCATGAACCGCAGCAACACTCTCATGCACACTAAAATGGTGGCAGCCAACCAGCCAGTCTCTGCTGGCCAATCAATAATTATCGGAGGGTCTCCCTCTCCTGTTGTTGTGAACTCACCCATAAGCCCGGCACAGAGTGTGGCAAGTCCCACTCTCACAGCCGGGGTGAAACCAACGGTTAACGGAGTTGGTCAGCCCACGGTGACCATCGTGAGGCCCCCCGGTGCTCCTGTGATGACCACCTCCGTACAGCAGCAGAGACCTGGGCTGGTAGCGAGTCCCACGAGGACTGTGGCACCACAGCTGGTCGTCAGACCACCACAGCAAACCACCATTCAGTTACCACCTGGATTTACCATACCACCCGGTAAGGAACCCTACTGATGTTATCCTAATTCTAAAACCTTTAGAACCTAGGATCTGGCTCCCCAAGCTCCATACTGAACAGGAATGTGCACCCTTCAAACATTTAGTCAATCATTGAAACATTCATATAGTCAAAAGCCTATAGCCCAGTCTGTGCTATTCACTAATGCATTTGTTAACCCTATGCTAAGGCCCCAAAAAACTCAAACGACCCCCCAAAAAGTCAACCATTCAAAAGGCATATAAAGAAAGATGTGACCTGACTGTTTCTCCCTCAGGTATGGTGCTGGTGCGTACGGACACAGGCCAGCTGGTAATGGTGCCTCAGCAGGTTCTAGCCCAGGCCCAGGCTAAGACTCAACAAGGCCAGGCAGCTGTCTCCAACATCTCCCCCCGGCCTCCTACGCCTACCGCTGGGGCCACCATCAGAGTCAGTACTCCCAGCCAGGTATGGATGGGGGAATCAGGCTAAAGTTGTCTAGAGGGGGACTGGAATGGATTATATCATATCAAACTTGTTTGTCAATCTGAATGATGTCTGCTGCCATGTACTGGCCAATCCTCTTTAGTGGTCCAAGTATAGGCCTAGTCCTCCTGACAAAAAAATCTCACTGCTTGATCATGTGGGTTTTCCATAAGATCGATGCTGCCCAGGCCAAGAATGTTATTGGAGATGATGTAGTACATGATTGTGTAAGAGCTCATCGTCAGCATCAGTCTCATGAGACCATAGATTCTCGTGTCTGGTCAGGTCTTGGTGTAGCATCTGCTGTGGCTGTGGAGTCTCATTCGTGATCGGCATACTCTGCCATCAGTCGCAACTGAAGGTCTGCCCTGATGTTGTAGGGATGTCTTGCTGTTTCTTCCTCTTTACTATTTTAATTTCCCTCTCGAGTTGTGCCAGTGTCGTTTCACTTTTAGTAAGTCATAACAAGTTGACCATGTATACCGGTACTAATGTCCATAATGACTGCTTGTCTTCATCCAATGCACATCTGACCCCTTGCTCCCCCTGTTCTCTGCAGGCCCCTTGTACACCCCAGGCTGTTCGGCTGGGGTCCCCTGTCCAGGCCAGAATGTTGCAGTCCCCCTCTCCCACCAGCCCTGCTATACAGGTGTGCACTTAATGTCTCCATTCAAAGCCCTCTGTCAGAAAACACACACCTAATTATAGTAGCTACTATAGCCTCTCAGTAGATTTAAAATTAATTTGTATGAAATCCATTTTAAATATTCCAGCCCTGTTTTTATTTGGTTGTGGTTTTCGTTGTTTGACCTATGTTATGTTGTAGTAAATGGTTGTTTACTCTCAGCTGAAGTGTGTGTGTTGTTAAAACTTGTTTTTGTTTCCACTACTGTATAAAGTGTAGTCATATTTCTGCCTGTTGTCATTCTCTCCAGAAGGCCATATCCATGGCTCCTGCAGGTGCCTCTGTGTCAGTGAAGATGACCACCCCTCAGAAGGCCCAGACGGTGATCACAGGGGGTCAGGCCCTGGCCAAGCCTGGTGCTGTACGGCCCACTATAACCCTTAACACTGCAGCAGCCAGTGCCTCCACAACCCCTACCACAGGAACGGCACCAGTCTCCCAGGTGTGTCAATTGTGTTACTTTGTTACTGGCACGTTGCTAGACCCGAACAGTGCGTGGTTTACCATGTGGTGAGTTGGTTGACATTTTTCTATTGGCCGGTTTCCCCCTTGGGGAAAGTGCTGTTTACTGTAAAGTGTGTTGCTATTTTAAATGCCCTCAAAATAAAGTTTAATTTGATTTAATAACGTTTATAATATCAGAAGTGGTGGTGACATGAGAAGCAAACTTTGTGCAAAACTTGTCAATCATTTTCATGGAAAGTCTAATCCTACTGAATGACCCATTCTCCTCTCTTACAGGAAATGCAAGAAAATGTGAAGAAGTGCAAGAACTTCCTGTCCACCCTGATCAAGCTGGCGTCCCACAACTCCCCGTCTCCAGACACATCCAAGAACGTCAAGTCCCTGGTGCAGGATCTTCTGGTGAGTCAAGACCCCTATAGAGGACTAGGTTAAAAATATAATGAGTAGATGACGTCTTTGTATCATTTGTCATAAACTCATGCCTTATAAATGATCTACGAATGGCTTATATATGACAGTTATTAGAAAGAGTTATGGCTTTTTGAATTTTGTTATGTAGTTCAATTGTCAGCAGAATGATGGAGCGTGGAATCATGACATTTCATTTCATGTATTTGTTTGTCCTATTATCACACTTAATGCCCACTTTCTTTGATCAGGATGCAAAAATTGAGCCTGAGGAGTTCACCACACGTCTGCAGGCTGAGCTGAAGTCCTCTCCACAGCCGTACCTCATCCCCTTCCTCAAGGTTTGTTTGTTACCCTTAACCCTCAGCCTGACCTTTTTCTGAGCTCATTGCTATGCAACTACTAAAGTACAATGTAACATGTTACTACATTTACGTTGACATTTTAGTCATTTAGCAGACACTCTTATCCAGAGCGACTTATAGTTAGTGAGTGCATACATTTTTCATTCTGGCCCCCTGTGGGAAACGAACCCACAACCCTGGTCGTTGCAAGCGCCATGCTCTACCAACTGAGCTACAGGGTACCTGCGATGTTACTAGTGTAATTAGTGTTACTACCCAGGTATAAGAGCAACTTAATGTAAATTGTTACCCTAACTTTCATAGCAGGCCTGTGTGTACTAATAAAAAATATAGACTTAGTCAATTGTTGATGACATTACCATGTAACCCGGATGTGTTTCCTTCCGTACAGAAAAGCCTTCCTGCCCTGCGGCTGTCCCTGCTCAACAACCAGCAGTCTCTGCTGGCCTCCACCAACGCTTCTGCCCTGGCCGCTCCCTCCACTACTACCATCACCAGGGCCCGGCTCCCCACCACCGTCAGCCCCGTCACGGGCATTGTCAGGACACCCACCACTGCTCTGGTACGACCCTCCCGGACTTAGACACTGGATACTGGAGAGAAGCGCTGCAGTTTTTAATGGTTCTTCTTTCTATAGTAGGCCTAGTAGAATTCTTTTGAGGCCGTTCTAGGTTGTCTCTCTATAATAGCATTGATACACACACACACACACAACCATTCTATGTTGTGGTCTGTTATATTTACTGTGTTGTGTTCTGTCTGTAATGTGCCACTTGACTCAAACTAGTTCAGTTTTCTGTTCAAGTTTTATTTGTCACATGCACAAGTACAGTGAAATGCTTAACTTGCAAAAGTAGTATAACTAATTTTAAAAAAGAAGAAAAAATACCCACAATAAATAAGAGGAAGCTATATACAGGGTCCGTGCCAGTACCACATTTACAATGTGCAGGGATACTGGAGTAATTTACAATGTGCAGGGATACTGGAGGGATACTGTTCATGTTCTAATGGCTCCTCTCTCCCACCTCTCCTCTCTTCCAGGGTGTGAGAAGACCAGGGGTTCAGGGGGTCCAGACTCGCATGCCAATGGTCATCACCCAGACCATACGGCCACAAGGTACGGGTACTGCACAGCACCCTCTCTATGCAGACCATGGACAAGCTCAATATGACATCCCAGCGCTCTCCACCTGTGCTATTGGTGAAGGGAAGAGGTTATCCCCAGTGGACACTTGTTTTTCCCACCTCATTCAATTATTCAAGGCCTGGAGGATTATTTGGTGTCTCAGGTGTTTAGTGTTTAGCTCTAACAAAAATGTACCAGCAGGGGATGCCCCAGGACAGGAATTGAAAACCCCTGCTTAAGAGTACTGCACAGAGGCCTATTTTCTCACCATGCTATTGAACAGCTTGTAATGATATGTTTTGTTTCTTTGTCTGGCACAGTTGCAAGAGGACCCACTATTATTGCAGGCAGATCTCCTGTGGGCATTGGTGCCCAGGCCTCTGCCAATCAGAAGAAGCTAAATGAGCCTGGAGGCGGGACGTTCAGGTACAGAATATCCAGGTTGGCAGGGGAAAACTATACTCTGTAACCAGGTTTCCATCCAAGCTTTTTATGCGATTAAAAACATTTAATGACAGGCCTGATGGAAACAGAACATTTGTCGTTAAACTTTCCAAATGTAGACAATACAAAATACACTAGACAACGTGGGATCGTTTTGTGTCGGTGAAATGTTTTATGCGAGAAATGTCAGTGGAAACACTTTTTTTTAAATGCACAAATATTGATGTATAACCATCATATCGAAGTAAACTTGGAGTCACGTGAGATGACATGTTGTGTGACCCTTCCACTACGACTCGTTGGGAAAGCATGAAGTTTATTAGGCTACAGATGAAATAAGTTATAATGAACTTCACAGGGTGGTGAAAGTGCAAGGTGAGCTTGATGCTCCTTTCCAATAAATATCGAAGGTCTTATTCTGGTGACATGATCATCGATTCTTGGCTGCCGTTTGACAAATACAAATAATCTATCTCATCATGGATGTAGGCTATACCCTGTATCTGAGAGGTGTTGGCAATACCAGAGTGGGCACAGTCGCTATATAACGCAACATTTTTTGTGAAAGTTGAAAATGCGATGCAAACACATTTAACTGGTATTTTTTATTCGGTACATGGGAATTTAACCACAAAAGGTATTTTTATGTGCACTACGTCATCACTCACAGCCTTTTATCTGCAACAAGTCAATTTGATGGAAACCTCTCTTGTGGGAGAGATTTTTGTGCAGATTTTTGAATATTCACATAAAAATCTGTCACCAATTGGATGGAAACCTAGCTACTTTGGTTATCTGACCCCATGTAAACCTGCAGTATTCGAGGCAGTATTTCGAGTATTAGAAACTGTGATACTTTTCCATGATGCATGGAAACAGATCAACCACAGGATGGCGGCATTTCACACGTTTTGACACAATGATGGGGTTGAGAAACATACTTAAGTTAATCAAACTTCATATTCTTTGAGAAATTGACGTGAAATTGACATGGTGTATTTGTCTAGGCAACCACCAAATTATATTCATGTTTAGCTTTCTTGTAATGAACCATAAAATCAAGACATATCTGACTGATTATCAAAGTTAGCCGGCCAACTTAATGATCTTGCTTTCTGGAGCAACCCACTGATCTGTGTGTACTGCATATCTTCAGAGATGATGATGACATCAACGACGTGGCGTCCATGGCGGGGGTGAACCTGAACGAGGAGAACGCCCGTATCATGGCCACCAACTCTGAGCTGGTGGGCACCAAGATCCGCTCCTGTAAGGACGAGGCCTTCCTCCCGCCAGGCCTGCTGCACAGACGCATCATGGAGACCGGTATGTACAATAACCTGTCCTTTCTCCTGAACCAGCTAAGACCCGAAGTGTGCACTTGTTCACTTACCTTAATGGATTTGAAAGGAAATGACTAGTGTAAGAAATAAGCCGCTGAAAGAAGTAGAGTTGGGCCCTGATGTCTGTCGATCATCAATAAATGACTGACCACACCTTGTCATCCCACCCCAGATAATGGCACTGATTGGCTGTCCCAATATATCGTGTCTTTAAACCCAGCTGATGCCTTTCTCTCCCTTTCTTCCGCTAAAGCCAAGAGGTTTGGGGTGACAGAGGTCCCAGCTGAGGCAGTGAACTACATCTCCCATGCTACCCAGGCCAGGCTGAGATCCATGCTGGAGAAAGTGTCAACTATCGCCCAGCACCGCACTGACGGGGGAAAGGTAAGAACAGGGAGAGTAGGGGTTTTCATGAACAGAAGGTGATGAACAGTACATAGCCAGTACATGCACAAGCACAACAGTACATGAATAACAAAGAAATCACACATGACCAACATCATGAACAGTACATAAACAACACCATCCTACTTGTCCCTTCCTCCTTCCTTTCACGCTCTCTCCTGTCCCTTCCCTCTCTGTGCAGGATGAGGAGTGGTATGAGCCGTCGACAGACGTCAGGGCCCAGCTCCGCTTCTTTGAGCAGCTGGACAGGATGGAGAAACAAAGGAAGGACGAGCAGGAGAGGGAGGTCCTACTCAAGGCTGCCAAGGTAGAGACACACACCACCTGACTACATACACACCGGAACTATGTTATTACCACATTACTGCATTACCAGCAATAATTAGTTTAACTCCAGAAGAGGGGTGGTCTGTTAATAGCTGCAGTGTGTTTGTGTGTGCGTGTGCACGTGTGTCCACCCCATGGGAACGATGTGACACATGAAAACGGGGATAATTAGTGGAGTTTGAACAGAAACCACAATTCCCTCTACAGACATCATTAGACTTCCACGAGAGCATACACACACACACACACACACACACACACACACACACACACACACACACACACACACACACTAATTACCTTTAATGTGGGAAAGAGATGACATCCAGGAGATAATTATCTCTGTGCTGCTGTGTAGATGGGAGCTCCCCAACCATATTCACACTGTCGTGTGGGAGTTGGTTTAGTTAATATGCATTGCACGGCTTGTAATTTACATTAGACAACACATACACGGAACAAAAATATAAAAGCAACATGCAACAATTTCAAAGATTTTACTGAGTTACAGGAAATCAGTCAATTTAAATAAATTAGGCCCTAATCTATGGATTTTACATGACTGGGAATACAGATATGCATCTGTTGGTCACAGATACCTTAAGAAAACAATGTAGTGGCGTGGATCAGAAAACCAGTCAGTATCTGGTGTGACCACCATTTGCCACATGCAGCGCGACACATCTCCTTCGCATAGAGTAGATCAGGCTGTTGATTGTGGCCTGTGGAATGTTGTCCCACTCCTCTTCAATGGCTCTGTGAAGTTGCTGGATATTGGCGGGAACTGGAACAGGCTGTTGTACACGTCGATCCAGAGCATCCCAAACATGTTCAATGGGTGACATGTCTGGTGAGCATGTGAGTATGTGAGCGGAGCGGAGCGTGCCCAATTTGACTGGAGCGCGGGGCGTGATTCCCAACGGCTAGAGCGTCGTCTGCCTTCTCGCCCACTCCAATGAGCGTTCCAGTTACGCTCACTTCACCAGCTCAGGGCATGCCCGGCCCGGCATGCATTTGTAGGCTATTTGTGTGCTGCTATAGCCCCTTGCTTTAGCTACTGTCATGGAGTTCGCTAAATATTTTCATAAAGAAACTGATAAAACACACAGGTGCTAAATCAAGGTGACTTACAAAGCTGAGGACCAAGAGCAAGAGAGGGAGTGTGGTGATGTAGTGTCCATAACTAAAGAGTCATTGTGGAATCTGAAAAGACATGTACCCCGAAAGCATGATGGTGTACTTACTACTACAGTGGGGGAAAAAAGTATTTAGTCAGCCACCAATTGTGCATGTTCTCCCACTTAAAAAGATGAGAGAGGCCTGTAATTTTCATCATAGGTACACGTCAACTATGACAGACAAAATGAGATTTATTTTTCCAGAAAATCACATTGTAGGATTTTTTATGAATTTATTTGCATATTATGGTGGAAAATAAGTATTTGGTCAGTAACAAAAGTTTCTCAATACTTTGTTATATACCCTTTGTTGGCAATGACACAGGTCAAACGTTTTCTGTAAGTCTTCACAAGGTTTTCACACACTGTTGCTGGTATTTTGGCCCATTCCTCCATGCAGATCTCCTCTAGAGCAGTGATGTTTTGGGGCTGTCGCTGGGCAACACAGACTTTCAACTCCCTCCAAAGATTTTCTATGGGGTTGAGATCTGGAGACTGGCTAGGCCACTCCAGGACCTTGAAATGCTTCTTACGAAGCCACTCCTTCGTTGCCCGGGCGGTGTGTTTGGGATCATTGTCATGCTGAAAGACCCAGCCACATTTCATCTTCAATGCCCTTGCTGATGGAAGGAGGTTTTCACTCAAAATCTCACGATACATGGCCCCATTCATTCTTTCCTTTACACGGATCAGTCGTCCTGGTCCCTTTGCAGAAAAACAGCCCCAAAGCATGATGTTTCCACCCCCATGCTTCACAGTAGGTATGGTGTTCTTTGGATGCAACTCAGCATTCTTTGTCCTCCAAACACGACGAGTTGAGTTTTTACCAAAAAGTTCTATATTGGTTTCATCTGACCATATGACATTCTCCCAATCCTCTTCTGGATCATCCAAATGCACTCTAGCAAACTTCAGACGGGCCTGGACATGTACTGGCTTAAGCAGGGGGACACGTCTGGCACTGCAGGATTTGAGTCCCTGGCGGCGTAGTGTGTTACTGATGGGAGGCTTTGTTACTTTGGTCCCAGCTCTCTGCAGGTCATTCACTAGGTCCCCCCGTGTGGTTCTGGGATTTTTGCTCACCGTTCTTGTGATCATTTTGACCCCACGGGGTGAGATCTTGCGTGGAGCCCCAGATCGAGGGAGATTATCAGTGGTCTTGTATGTCTTCCATTTCCTAATAATTGCTCCCACAGTTGATTTCTTCAAACCAAGCTGCTTACCTATTGCAGATTCAGTCTTCCCAGCCTGGTGCAGGTCTACAATTTTGTTTCTGGTGTCCTTTGACAGCTCTTTGGTCTTGGCCATAGTGGAGTTTGGAGTGTGACTGTTTGAGGTTGTGGACAGGTGTCTTTTATACTGATAACAAGTTCAAACAGGTGCCATTAATACAGGTAACGAGTGGAGGACAGAGGAGCCTCTTAAAGAAGAAGTTACAGGTCTGTGAGAGCCAGAAATCTTGCTTGTTTGTAGGTGACCAAATACTTATTTTCTACCATAATTTGCAAATAAATTCATTAAAAATCCTACAATGTGATTTTCTGTTTTTTTTTTTCTCAATTTGTCTGTCATAGTTGATGTGTACCTATGATGAAAATTACAGGCCTCATCTTTTTAAGTGGGAGAACAATTGGTGGCTGACTAAATAAAAAAATTCCCCACTGTATGTGCACATGCTAAAAGAAAGGAAAGAAGTGGGTAGCTAATTGTCATTGTAGCAAAGTATTTATAAACAAAAAATCAGATTACTTAAAAGTCTTGTTTCAGTTTTATTCTATTATCTATACAATAGGCCATAATTGATTTTGGCCCAATAGACCTGGCATATTCCAACTTTCAAGGGGCTTTCCCATAAAAACCTTTATGCCTACAACTCTGCATTCCTGCCCAGCCTGGCAAGAGAGGCCAAAAGTGTGTTTAGCATCCCCAGTGGCTCTGTAAGCGCAGAGAGGATATTCTCCGCTGCTGGCCTGCTATCCAGGCACCATCACATGAGCCTGAAGCCACAGACTCTGGCCAAACTCTGTTTTCTAATAGACTGAGCCTAATAAGGCATTTTTCGTTTAATTTGTATTCAATTCTAAGTCACAGCCTATATGCGCAATTTATAGACTATAATGATTTAATACAATAAAATGTTGTTTAAATACTGAGCACCGTATGCCCCTACCAGCCTAGTGTGTCGCAGTCGCAAATGCTTGACAATGTATTTCTTTGTAGGCTATAGCCTTGAAATAATTGAAATAACATAGCCTAAATAATTCATTTCCGTTCCTTCTTAGGCTCCCTGTCTGGCTCCTGACTTATTTAGAGTCTTTATATGCTGTTTAATATGACATGTAGCCTATTTGAAATTATGAGCGCTTCTTACATTCACCTTTTCATGTTTATTAAAATACTTTTCATTAAAATCATATGGTTTGGTTTCAATGCTTCAAAACCAAATGGTAGGTCAAAAAATAGATGGTTGTTGGTTAAATTGTGATTTTAATGAATGGAGTGAATTTGGAGCGGCAGTTTCCGACCGCTCAACTCCACTCACATACTCTGCTGGTTAGTATGCAGGCCATGGAAGAACTTGGACATTTTCAGCTTCCAGCAATTGTATGACACTGGGGTCGTACATTGTCATGCTGAAACATGAGGTGATGGCGGCTGATGAATGGCACGACAATCTGTGCTTTCAAATTGCCAGCAATAAAATGCAATTGTGTTTGTTGTCCGTAGCTTATGCCTGCCCATACCATAACCCCACCACCACCATGGGTCTCTGTTCACAACGTTGACATCAGCAAACTGCTCGCCCACACGACACCATACACACTGTCTGCCATCTACCTGGTACAGTTGAAACTGGGATTCATCCGTGACGAGCACACTTCTCCAACGTGCCAGTGGCCATCGACGGTGAGCATTTGCCCACTGAAGTCGGTTACGACGGCGATCTGCAGTCTGGTCAAGAACCTGGTGAGGACGACGAGCATGCAGATGAGCTTCCCTGAGATGGTTTCTGACAGTTTGTGCAGAAACTATTCGGTTGTGCAAACCCACAGTTTCATCAGCTGACCAGGTGGCTGGTCTCAGACGATCCCGCAGGTAAAAAATCAGGATGTGGAGGTCCTAGGTTTGGTTACACGTGGTCTGCGATTGTGAGGCCGGTTGGACATACTGCCAAAATATCTAAAACGACGTTGGAGAGGTGGCTTATAGTAGAGAAATTAACATTCAATTCTCTGGCAACAGCTCTGGTGGACATTCCTGTAGTCCGCATGCCAATTGCACACTCCCTTAAAACCTGAGACATTGATCATGCTGTTTAATCAGCTTCTTGATATGCCACACCTGTCAGGTGGATGGATTATCTTGGAAATGCGCATTAACAGGGATGTAAAGAAATTTGTGCACACAATTTGAGGGAAATAAACTTTTTGTACGTATGGAACATTTCTGGGATCTTTTATTTCAGCTAATGAAACATGGGACTAACACTGCGTTTATATTATTGTTCAGTATATAATTGACTAAAGTGAGAAACCAATACTTCTCTTTCCACACAAGATACATAACCTGTATCAATAGTTAAGAACAATAACTGTAATATACTATAACAGTGTTCTACAGCCCACATTGGTGCTATGATCTGCGGCTGTGACGGTCATGACATTTTGGATGACGGTAATTGGCTAGACAAATGACACGGTCTCTGTAATAATCGTTCAAATAGCAATAGACTTTTAGTCAAAGAAGACTAAATTCACCAGGAATTTAGCAAGAAATGTGTTTAATTTAGAAAATCTATTCCCAAGTATTCCCATAAATAAAAAAAGACGTGTTCGTGTCTCAATGTAATCAAGTTATGAAATTATTATTTTCAGATACAATCTCCTTTTTGGGCTTAGTTGTGGTCAATTTGCAGTGTACAAATTATTATAATTATTTTGCGACCCCCGATTTATTTTCCTGCCACCCCGTCGCTGACTAGTTGCCTACACCTGAAGTTGTACCTTTTCAGGTTTAGAAGAAGTGACTGCTAAATACTATCTCCTGTTCTTATAAGCCATTTCTGTATGCTAACTGTAATGCAGTTGATTGGTGACTATGGCATGAACATATATTGGGGTTGACATCCATACAAGTATTATACTCAGATTTTCACCTCAACATAGTGTGAAATACACAAACAACAGCCTAAATGTAGGGTAATTTTGCTGGGGGAAATGGGGAGATTCGGATCTTTCCCCCACGCATTTCCATGGCATTTCCATTGTTTTGGTTGAGTTCCATTGACCTCTTTACCGCATCTATTACGAGTGTACCCATGAGTTTACCAGTCCAATTGCCAGGGTTAGAGGTTCCAAGCCCATTCTATTTATGTGTGTGCTGCTGCTGCATTGTGGGGGTGTTGCTTAGGCCAGTGGTTCTCAAACCTCTCCTCGGGGACCCCCAGACGTTTGACAATTTTATTGTAGCTCTGAACTAGCTCACCTGATTTCAACTAGTCAAGGGCTTGGTGATTAGTTGACAAGATGAATCAGGAGTGCTAGCTCTGGAATAGATCAAATACATGGAACGGCTGGGGGTTCCCGAGGAAAGGTTTGAGAACCACTGGCCTAGGCAACCGAAGACTTCTTTGCTATTACACCTTGTTTGTTTCAGCAAGGTGCAACACAGTTTCATCACATTGTTAAGAGTCCATGTTACCGTAGAAACGGACTCAACCGCACGAATGCCTGGCTGTCCTGTCTTAAGGCAGCTGTTGGTTCCTGTTATGATGAGTTTCTGGTATTGAGAAGTTCAGGATGCAAGAGAGTATGGGACACAGATGGAGAGTTGATTCAGCCATTATTTAATTCAGTACTGGATTCAATGACAGGCTGTACGGACGTAGCCTCCTGCCATCTGAATGACTTCCATACAAAATCTCTGTTTATATAATGCCCTTCCGATCTACTTCTGTCCCACACATTATTGACTGTCACTCATCTTACTACAATAGCATCCACATATTTGGTATCGTGTATCACCTAGCCAGGCCCTCACGTAGCCCTCTTAAGATTAGCAACTGTGGCCCCCAATCTATCTTGGCACACCGACACTCTGTCACTAACCCATGACACCAATAACACATGGCGTGTCCTTGTCCTCTGTCCCACATGCAGCTTATGAGTTTTACATACATTAATGAATCTTGTATCACAGATCATTATAACAGTTCCCAATGACAATATTTTCTTTTCTTGACGGTCTTCATCCATAACTGTTGGTTACGCAGTTATACAGTAATTGCGCCAGCCCTACAAGCTCCAAAATCAAATCTTATTTGTCACATGTGCCGAATACAACAGGTGTAGATTTTGCCGTGAAATGCTTACTTACGAGCCCTTTCCCAACAATGCAGGGTTAAAAAGTAAGAAACATTTAAAAGTAAGAAAATGGTGCAAAAAAAATTAATAATGAAATAGTAACACAATAAAATAACAATAACCAAGCTATATACAAGGAGTACTGGGACCGAGTCAATGTACAGGGGTATGAGGTAATATGTACATGTAGGTAGGGGTAAAAATGACTAGGCAATCAGGATAGATTATAAGCAGTGTGTGTGTGTTGTGTTGTGTAGTATGTGTGAGTGTGAATAGAGCCAGTGACATTTTTTTAACAAAGGGGGTCAATGCAATTAGTCAAAGTATCAATTTGATTAACTGTTCAGCAGTCTTATGGCTTTGGGGTAAAAGCTGTTCAGGAGCCTTTTGGTCCCAAACTTGGTGCTCCGGTACTGCTTGCCGTGCTGTAGCAGAGAGAACAGTCTAGGACTTGGGTGGCTGGAATTTTTAGGGCCTATCTCTGACACCGCCTGGTATAGAGGTCCTGGATGGCAGGGAGCTCGGCCCCAGTGAGGTATTGGGCCGTACGTACTACCCTCTGTAGCGCCTTACGGTCGGATGTAAAGCATTTGCCATACCAAGCGGTGATGCAGCCAGTCAAGATGCTCTCAATGGTGCAACTGTATAACTTTTTGAGGATCTGAGGGCCCAAGACAAATATTTTCAGGGGGAAGAGGCGTTGTCGTGCCCTCTTCGACTGTCTTGGTGTGTTTGGACCATTATAGGTCCTTAGTAATGTGGACACAGAGGAACTTGAAGCTCTTCCTCTCATGACAAGGTATCCACCTCCCCTGTCTCTCGCTTTCCCTCTGTCTCTCTCCTTCTAAACTGTCTGTCTCTCACTCTCTCAACTATAGAGTCGCGCCAGACAGGAGGACCCAGAGCAAGCTCGGTTGAAGGCGAAAGCTAAAGAGGTAAGCGCTTCATTTTGTGTTTCCCTCCACATACCAACAAATCAAAGCAGTTGACACGCAGTATCATTATCTATGTACAATATCAAAAAATACACAAATGGTCTATAAAGTCCATTGTCAGACAGCTACAGACTGGCATGCAAGAACTTTCCACCAAAATACAAACATTTTCCATATAGACCAACCACCCCAACCATGCCCATATTTGGGGCTAGCTCTCCCCATATTATAGCTCTGCCTTGGGCCACACTGTCTGTTTGGACAGTGTTTCACCACTTTGACCCAGAGCGGGCTCTGTGACCTCTGTGCCTTGAGGCATTATTCATAAAGATCAGGACAGGGGAGCCCAAGTCAGGACACGTTGCTGTAGTCAGCAACCCATGTCCTGTAGAAGTCGCCTAATCAGTATTTTGTTTAGCTTTATCATTTTTGTTAGTGCTGGGCTAGATCAAAGGCATGGAAGCCAAGTCGCTCCCCAGGAGGAAGGTTGGCCACACCTGGTTTAACGCCTATGTCAAGAATAGGCATCTTCAGTCCTAGAGGGCCAAAAACTAAAACACCTCTGGTTTTCATTCTCTCCTAATCAGGGACTGATTCAGACCTGAGACACCAGGTGGACTCTGTCCAATCAATCCGTGACATAAATAAATCATTACTACTACAAGGTAGAAAATTAAACCAGCACTACTTGGGCCCTCCAGGCCTCTGGCCTATGTGATCAAGACTAGTTTCCAGGATGTGCAGAGAGGCGTAACCTGGTTCTGCCTCTACCAATTAATTTCTTAAACAGACAGGGACCTGACCAGAGGCAATGTTAGCTAGGCCTACAGAGCCCTACTCTCTGCCTTGTGCCCTCATAATGCCTGAAGATACAATGCCCCCTTCACACACACATGCGCCTGCTTCAAGCCGTTGGCCTCTGTTCCATCTTGACCTCCAGGGTCAGGTCACACCATGTGCAGCACTTCCCTTTCAATTAGCGTTACTAACGTTGACATTAATGAGGATGTCAACGTTGCCTTGAATTATGTCTTCTGTCGATTCGTTTTTTTCCATGCTCCTCCTTTGGAGTGGGCGGCTGTTTTAGTTTGTAGCACTAGCCTGCTGCAGAAGGATTTGTGTTCATGGCAGATAATAATAGCCTAATAATATGAAATGGTTGTACTCTACGAATAGGCCTATTAGAGGTCCTCTGTAGCTCAGCTGGTAGAGCACGGCGCTTGTAACGCCAAGGTAGTGGGTTCGATCCCCGGGACCACCCACACACAATAATGTATGCACGCATGACTGTAAGTCGCTTTGGATAAAAGCGTCTGCTAATTGGCATATTAGAGGGTTTGTCCTGTAAGATTTTTCAGAGCCCTTTTGTAAAGCTACTGTACTTGGCTCTGTATCACATCTCTCTTTTGTAGATGACAACTTTCTCCATTCCAGCTATTATGCAACCAATGATAGATCCTTTTCAGGATGTAAATCAGACAGGAGAGTATAAATGTCTGTGGCTCTCTTTCCCATCTCAGATGCAGCAGGCGGAGCAGGCCCAGATCCGGCAGCGTGAAGCCAACCTCACTGCCCTGGCGGCCATCGGTCCCCGCAAGAAACGCAAGATGGACTCGCCAGGGAGCTCCACATCGGGCACAGAGGTAAGGGTCCTAAAATGTGGCAGTATGAATGTGTACAGTGGGGGAAAAAAGTATTTAGCCAGCCACCAATTGTGCAAGTTCTCCCACTTAAAAAGATGAGGCCTGTAATTTTCATCATAGGTACACGTCAACTATGACAGACAAAATGAGAAAAAGAAATCCAGAAAATCACATTGTAGGATTTTTTATGAATTTATTTGCAAATTATGGTGGAAAATAAGTATTTGGTCAATAACAAAAGTCTCTCAATACTTTGTTATATACCCTTTGTTGGCAATGACACAGGTCAAACGTTTTCTGTCAGTCTTCACAAGGTTTTCACACACTGTTGCTGGTATTTTGGCCCATTCCTCCATGCAGATCTCCTCTAGAGCAGTGATGTTTTGGGGCTGTCGCTGGGCAACACAGACTTTCAACTCCCTCCAAAGATTTTCTATGGGGTTGAGATCTGGAGACTGGCTAGGCCACTCCAGGACCTTGAAATGCTTCTTACGAAGCCACTCCTTCGTTGCCCGGGCGGTGTGTTTGGGATCATTGTCATGCTGAAAGACCCAGCCACGTTTCATCTTCAATGCCCTTGCTGATGGAAGGAGGTTTTCACTCAAAATCTCACGATACATGGCCCCATTCATTCTTTCCTTTACATGGATCAGTCGTCCTGGTCCCTTTGCAGAAAAACAGCCCCAAAGCATGATGTTTCCACCCCCATGCTTCACAGTAAGCATGGTGTTCTTTGGATGCAACTCAGCATTCTTTGTCCTCCAAACACGACGAGTTCAGTTTTTACCAAAAAGTTCTATTTTGGTTTCATCTGACCATATGACATTCTCCCAATCCTCTTCTGGATCATCCAAATGCACTCTAGCAAACTTCAGACGGGCCTGGACATGTACTGGCTTAAGCAGGGGGACACGTCTGGCACTGCAGGATTTGAGTCCCTGGCGGCGTAGTGTGTTACTGATGGTAGGCTTTGTTACTTTGGTCCCAGCTCTCTGCAGGTCATTCACTAGGTCCCCCCGTGTGGTTCTGGGATTTTTGCTCACCGTTCTTGTGATCATTTTGACCCCACGGGGTGAGATCTTGCGTGGAGCCCCAGATCGAGGGAGATTATCAGTGGTTTTGTATGTCTTCCATTTCCTAATAATTGCTCCCACAGTTGATTTCTTCAAACCAAGCTGCTTACCTATTGCAGATTCAGTCTTCCCAGCCTGGTGCAGGTCTACAATTTTGTTTCTGGTGTCCTTTGACAGCTCTTTGGTCTTGGCCATAGTGGAGTTTGGAGTGTGACTGTTTGAGGTTGTGGACAGGTGTCTTTTATACTGATAACAAGTTCAAACAGGTGCCATTAATACAGGTAACGAGTGGAGGACAGAGGAGCCTCTTAAAGAAGTTGTTACAGGTCTGTGAGAGCCAGAAATCTTGCTTGTTTGTAGGTGACCAAATACTTATTTTCCACCATAATTTGCAAATAAATTAATTAAAAATCCTACAATGTGATTTTCTCGATTTTTTTTTTTCTCAATTTGTCTGTCATGAAAATTACAGGCCTCTCTCATCTTTTTAAGTGGGAGAACTTGCACAATTGGTGGCTGACTAAATACTTTTTTCCCCCACTGTATATATCCTAAGTTTGAAAGATATCCTCATTTTCCAATTACTTTTACCCTCTGACTTTTCATCACATTAAGAAAAAAAACTTGCTTTTTAAGTAATGCCAAAAAGAAAGCGGGGATTGCTTTGCTCATGGTCGTACACCTCTGTCATCAATACAACTACATGTCCCCCATCACCCTCCCTATCCAACAGAGAGCAGAGTTAATGTGACCAGAGTTGAGTGAAGGGGGTCAGCGTGTGCCTCAAGGCTTGTTGTTGGTGTGTCTGCACCACTCTACCCCCTCGAAGCCCCCCTCCTCTCACACCCTGAGAGGAGCCATAGATTTCAGCTCTGTAGAAATGAGCCTGAGGGGTAACACAGCCTGGGGCAGCTGCAGTATGGGTGCCTCAGTCACAGCCACCACCCCCTCCCACATCCAGCCCTGAGTTCTCCCCCAAGCGATCCCAGACAAAGGGCTCTGTGCGGGATGAGAGCCTGGGATTAGGAGAGGGAGGGAATGCAAGCGAGAGGGAACATTTTGGGAAGGGGAAGGTGTAAAAATGAACTTTGCCGTGGTGAATTCCTATCTGAACGGCTAGCAAGCTAGTCAGTCAGTTGGTAGGTTAGCCAGTTGGTGAGCTAGCCAGGTAGTTAGCTGGGTCGTTCCAACAATTCTCTGTGCCTTTTGAGAAGTGTAACTTGGTAAAAAAAAAAGAATGTTTTAACGTTGTGTCATAAAGAGCACATGTTCTACTTCATAAAAAAACAATTTTTTCCCATCTCAAGAGATTAAATAAATAAAAAATACTATAGTAAGTGCCTATTAACTGCCAAATAAAGTAACAGGGTTGACTGTAACAGGGTTGACTGTAACAGGGTTGATGATTTCATCTTAATCAGCCATAAATCCCCTTGTGACAGGGTGAATACAACAGGGAGTATAAAAAAAATATATTATGCACTAACTGTAAGTCGCTCTGGATAAGAGCGTCTGCTAAATGACTAAAATGTAAATGTAAAATTGAATGCAAGTTTCACAAAAAAATGAAATTGTTCAAACGTCTAGCCTGTCTGTGCGTAACAGTGTTGACTTGTTATGCTCGACTTGCTCAGTTTTCCACCACAAAACACCAACAAATGGCCAAAAAGAGTACAACCAGCTCACCTGCTTTTACACTATGATTTGACTATTACATGTTCAATGTTTCTTTTGAAAAAAAATGTTTTAAAGGAATAGTTTCACCGTTTTAGAACGAGAGTTCAGTTCATGTAACAGGATTGACCTTAAAATGAAGGACAGATTAAAATGAATCACTAATCACATGAAATAAATAATCTTCGGAAATGACTGTCAAAGCAACAAAATAACTAGGGCTTTACAATGATGGTGAAGACTTGGAGACATTTTGGGGTTAAGTGGGTTAAAATCTTCCTATAAGTCAGAGCGCACGGAGGGACATGTCAAAATGCTGAATTGGCAATATTGGTGCACAATTTCTACTTAAAATATCAAAGGGACGCAAAAGGCACTCATTTCGTGGAACTACCCAGCAAGTCCCTTAAATCAGCTACTTTGCTTGCTAGTTTGTAAAATAGATAAACAGTCGCTAGTGAAAGTCTGCACACCCCTTGCACAGTATTCACATTTTGCTGCCTTAAAATGTAATAAAAATATATTAAATTGGTAAAGTGTAAGCAGTTATAGAAAATATTCCTAAATAAAACAAACAAAGATGTCTTGATTGCAATAAATGTTTCTTTCACTTGAAAATGTTGAGTAGGTTGTGTAAATTGGTAGGGGAAAAAATCGAATTTAATACATTTTTTGATAAAATTTGAAGGCAGCAAAATGTGCAAGGGGTGACAGAGACGCACACATGAACACACATACACCCTTTAAAGCCAGCATGCTCCTTTGAGACCCCTCTTTCAAGGTCACTGAGATCTCTTCTGGCCATGGTAGCCAAAATAATGGGCAACTGGGCATTTTTATACATGGCCCTAAGCATGATGGGATGTTAATTGCTTAATTAACTCAGGAACCACACCTGTGGGGAAGCACCTGCTTTTAATATACTTTATGTCCGTCATTTACTCAAGTGTTTCCATTATTTTTGACAGTCACCTGTATGTTCGTTAGATAGTTGGGTAATTAGCAAGTAAACAAAGTAGTCCCCTATGGGATGTTTATTTTCTACCGTAGATAATGAGTAGAAATGCAGAAAGGTTGCCTGACTCCTTTGTTTGCCTTTCCTCATACAAACCCAAACGGCCTGAGGGGCTCGTGGCAGGCTGATGTGTCTACCTCACCCTGAGCGCTCCTGCAGATGGGAGCTAAGGGGCCTGTTGGGGCTCCAACCTCAGGGCAGATTAGTTACAAAGAAGGCAGCTTGGAGACAAAGATTTCACGCTGGGATTCAATCCAATCGGCCCTTTTCGACTATGCACCTCAATCAGATTTTTTGTTGTTGAGATTTTCAAGAGCTCAATCAGAAATGTTTAATGTCAAGGCGGATCTAACCCGGATCTGAATGAATTCGGCCTTTAAGTCAGAGAACTAAATAACATTTGTAATACGTTCTTCTGAATAAAGAAGAGTTCTTTATCCATGGCCAACTTCCATGCCTATGTGAACGAGTTTCCTGAGTGATCAGACCGGTCACAGTTATATCACAAGAGGATCTTTGACTGATTTGAGTCGGAACGGTGATCTCGTGCTACCCATCATGCTTGATTGGGGTTGGTGATTGCTGTGTCTCTGTCTACACTGGGTGTGTAATGTTGGGGGCATTCATTGTGCCAGTATGGAGTACACACCCGTGTGTGTGTGTGTGGCGCCTGCAGGCTGTTAAGCTTTATAATGCTCTGATTGTGTTCCTGTATGGACCTGGAGCCTTATTCCTATCCTCTAGTGTCAGCTCTCCCCTCAGGCTCTCGGCACATAGAAGTAGAATATAGTACTACTCATTTGATATAATATGGACCACCATTTGTTCACAAAATGGCCATTGCATAAAACAGACATTTTCTAGTTCCCAAATGTTTTTCATGAGCCCCGATAATGAAATGTACCTGTTGTAACCACCAGGCCCCAGTTAAGGAACCCCTGGCTGGCATGTAGCCTATCAGTTCCAGGATACACCACAGGGTTATTCAGTTAGGCACAATGTCACTGAGTTCACTAAGACATGTACAATTTCCTCACCCCATACAAAACACCGCATCAACTCAACCCACACTGTATGATATCACATTGGTAATGGTTGCTCTTTGCGCATGTTGGAGCTGTCCCAAAATGGAGAGAACATGGCATTTAGTGTGCACGGTAAGGGTGTGGCCCGTTTCCCTCAAACTGTGCATACACCTTGTATGAAACTGTGGTGATGCACGCACAAGCCTGCGCTGTCATAGCTTAATAGTGAGTGGGATAGGACAGGTGACAGTGAATTTACATTTCTGTCGTTAGACCACATCACTTGTTCCCTGGCTGCATTACTATTGCTTGAGCCTAGATGTTGGCACACAGGCTGGGGATCGCCAATACAGATATTGTAAGACACTTGAAACAACCCTAAATCACTTACTAGCAGATCTAACTTTTGTAATGCCATCCCTTTCTCCTCAGGTTGCTTCGAGTTCAGGGGCTGGCTCTTCCACAGCCACCTCCTCCCGCCAACAGCTCCGTCAGCGGATCACGCGAGTCAATCTCAGGGACTTTATCTTCTGCCTGGAGCAGGAGAGGGCCACATCCAGGTCCTTACTACTCTATAAGGCTCTCCTGAAGTAGTGGAGTCCCCCAGGGTTCTGTACTTGACCCAATACAAATTTGTGACAAGTAAAGTTTCCCCTTTGCCCCCCAACTCTAGACACACACACTCATTCCCATACCACACTATCCTATATCCCCCCCTCTAATCTGATGTTAAGCAACCCCACGCCACCCCAACGTTGCCCCTTGATCATACAGACCCTTTGGACAGGTACACCACTGGCTCTACTCTTTCACTTAGCCACATCCTTGTTCTCACATCGTCTAGTCTCATTCACTAGCTGTGTGCTTTACAATGCTGAAAGCCTAGAAGCTGGCAGGCGGCCACACTCGTTTTTTACCATGACTCATGCTATGTACCAGAAGAGGTGCCTTTTGAGTCTCTGTCCCAATCAGTTGCGTAATTCTCAAACAAAACCTACAGTAGTAAGATTTATGTCAGGAGCCTTGCTATTTTAGCCCAATGGCTACTCACTAAGGATGTTACATCACACCACAGATAGTTTGGACTGGATTTTCAAGAGGATTGTTTGGTCACCCTGGGCAGGATCTGTGCTCTCCAGATCAAAGCCTACACACTTGTGTTATCTACGTTTTTTTCAAACATTGAAAAGGAAGGAACCATTTCAAAATGAAAGATAATGTTTGCATTTTATGTACCATACAAGTAAGTACTGAGTTTGAAAAAACAACAGGTTTTAATTCACCACACCATATAGTGAATGTTAGAGAATCCTATTGTCAGATAAATGTACAGAGTACTGTGATGCCTCATTTTAAAACAACAAATACATACAGTACATACTAGTTCCAGACCTGGGTCCAATACTTTCAAGTTCTTGAGCTGTGCTCGATTTAGTTTGCCTGGTACAGTAGAACCGATGGAATAGTCCCATTTTAAATTCAAACGCCAAGCTAAATCAAGCACACCTTAATTACTTTCAAGTATTTGACCCAGGTTTTGCTGGCATACATGGTAGTTTAGAGTTCATATTACGGTATTACTGCGCAGCATGTCTGGTAGGTATTATGGCAGAATAGTGAAACACAAGATTATTATATATATATTTTTTGTGTGTGTAAAGAGCCAACTCGGTTCATATTCTATGGTTCATACATAGACTTGTCTCTCCTATTGTAGACCGTGAATCTAGATTAATTACCAGTAGCCATTTAAAGATATAATTATTCAGACTCAAGCTCAGCACAGAACAGGGAGCTGGCTCTCTTACACTCACTCAGGCTAATGAAATGAAGATATCAACAAACAATGTGATATTGAACACCATTCCTATAATTTTCTTCTCAAGACCTTAAATTCCATCCGGGACTCGTAATTTTTTTTTTCATCTGGAAAGTCAGTCTCTTGCAGCACCACGCAACAAGATCTATCGAGTGCTTTGCTATTTTAATGCTGATAATCAAAACGACGATCTGTCGTAGCGATCAAGCAATTATTTTTCTAATGCTAATTGTATACAACTGCTTCCTTATTTTTTTGGTCGAAATCCCTTTTTTTCCCAGTTTGACTTTGGAATGACTTAAGGTTTTTAATGCTTTAAATGTATTTTTTACTGTAACAGGCATTTGTTTATATAGTGCATAGTTCTAATTGATCAATGAGATAAAGATGTGGTGTTAAGAGTCTGGGTCTTAAGCACCTAGCTACAGTATCATCTGTTGAAGGACACATTTGTGTGACTATTTATATTTCCTACTGTCTGTGTATTCAAACCTGACGCATTTCAGGCGATGCAATTTTACTATTGTTTGTACCTTTGCAAAAAAAATTAATAAAGAAAGTGACTGAAAAGAAGTACAAATAGCCTGATTTATTTGATGGTACGGTGCATTTGGAAAGTATTCAGACCCCTTGACTTTTTCCACATTTTGTTATGTTAGTCTTATTCTGAAATTGATAAAATAAATGTTTTTCCTCATCAATCTACACACAATACCCCATAACAAAGCGAAAACAGGTCAAGGGGTCTGAATACTTCCCGAATGCACTGTGTGTGTCAAGTTGAGTTTGGCTTATTGCAGTTTTATTAATCTCTGCAACGTAGAACCAAAATCTCCCAACAAAAACAGTTATTTTTATCAATACAGCTATACAAACGAAAAAATATTGACTCACAGTAAGCAAACACATACCTTAAATATTAATTGAAATTGCAGTTATACAAATCTGTGAAATGTGCACCATATTAACACATTCAAAATCCCAGTTTTCACATCATGAAAATGTATTTGTCAGGAAAGTTGTATACAGTGCCTTCGGAAAGTATTCAGACCCTTTGACTTTTTCCACATTTTGTTATGTTACAGTCTTATTCTAAAATTGATTAAATAGTTTTTTCCCCTCAATCTACACACAATACCCCATAATGACAAAGCAAAAACAGGTTAAAAAAAAAATCTAACTTATTAAAAATACAAAACGGAAATATCACATTTACGTAAGTATTCAGACCCTTTACTCAGTACTTAGTTGAAGCACCTTTGGCAGTGATTACAGCCTTGAGTCTTCTTGGGTATGACGCTACAAGCTTGGCACACTTGTATTTGGGGAGTTTCTCCCATTCTTCTCTGCAGATCCTCTCAAGCTCTGTCAGGTTGGATGGGGAGCATTGCTGCACAGCTACTTTCAGGTCTCTCCAGAGAAGTGCGATCAGGTTCAAGTCCGGGCTCTGGCTGGGCCACTCAAGGATATTCAGAGACTTGTCCCGAAGTCACTCCTATAGTTGTCTTGGCTGTGTGCTTAGGGTCGTTGTCCTGTTGGAAGGTGAACCTTCGCCCCAGTCTGAGGTCCTGAGCGCTCTGGAGCAGGTTTTCATCAAGGATCTCTCTGTACTTTGCTCTGTTAATCTTTGCCTCAATCCTGACTAGTCTCCCAGTCCCTGCCACTGAAAAACTTACACACAGCATGATGCTGCCACCACCATGCTTCACCGTAGGGATGGTGTCAGGTTTCCTCCAGACGTGACGCTTGGCATTCAGGCCAAAGAGTTCAATCTTGGTTTCGTCAGACCAGAGAATCTTGTTTCTCATGGTCTGAGAGTCTTTATGTGCCTTTTGGCAAACTCCAAGCGGGCTGTCATGTGCCTTTTACTGAGGAGTGGCTTCCGTCTGGCCACTCTACCATAAAGGCCTGATTGGTGGAGTGCTGCAGAGATTGTTGTCCTTCTGGAAGGTTCTCCCATCTCCACAGAGGAACTCTAGAGCTCTGTCAGAGTGATCATCGGGTTCTTGGTCACTTCCCTGACCAAGACACTTCTCCCCCGATTGCTCAGTTTGGCCGGGCGGCCAGCTCTAGGAAGAGTCTTGGTGGTTCCAAACTTCTTCCATTTAAGAATGATGGAGGCCACTGTGTTCTTGGGGACCTTAAATGCTGCAGAATTTTTTTGGTACCCTTCCACCGATCTGTGCCTCGACACAAGCCTGTCTCGGAGCTTTACGGACAATTCCTTCGACCTCATTACATTTACGTTTTTGCTCTGACATGCACTGTCAACTGTGGGACCTTATATAGACAGGTGTGTGCCTTTCCAAATCATGTCCAATCAATTGAATTTACCACAGGTGTTGAAACATCTCAAGGATGATCAATGGAAACAGGATGCACCTGAGCTCAATTTCGAGTCTCATAGCAAAGGGTCTGAATACTTTTAATAAATGTGCAAAAATGTCTAAATGGGGTATTGTGTGTAGAATGCTGATTTATTTTTATTTTATATATATTTATTTTTTATACATTTTAGAATAAGGCTAACATAACAAAATGTGGAAAAGGTCAAGGTGTCTGAATACTTTCCAAATTGGTAACACACTACGCCCTGAAGGACTGAAATCCTGCAGCGCCCGCAAGGACCCCCTGCTCAAGAAAGCACATATACAGGGTCGTCTGAAGTTTCCCAATGAACATCTGAATGATTCAGAGGAGAACTGGGTGAACGTGTTGTGGTCAGATGAGACCCAAATCGAGCTCTTTGGCATCAACTCAACTCGCCGTGTTTGGAGGAGGAGGAATGCTGCCTATGACCCCAAGAACACCATCCCCACCATCAAACATGGAGGTGGATACATTATGCTTTGGGGGTGTTTTTCTGCTAAGGGGACAGGACAACTTCACCGCATCAAAGGGACGATGGACGGGGCCATGTACCGTCAAATCTTGGGTGAGAACCTCCTTCCCTCAGCCAGGGCATTGAAAATGGGTCGTGGCTGGGTATTCCAGCATGACAATGACCCAAAACACACGGCCAAGGCAACAAAGGAGTGTCTCAAGAAGAAGCACATTAAGGTCCTGAAGTGGCCTAGCCAGTCTCCAGACCTTAATCCCATAGAAAATCTGTGGAGGGAGCTGAAGGTTCGAGTTGCCAAATGTCAGCCTCGAAACCTTAATGACTTGGAGAAGATCTGCAAAGAGGAGTGGAACAAAATCCCTCCTGAGATGTGTGCAAACCTGGTGGCCAACTACAAGAAACGTCTGACCTCTGTGATTGCCAACAAGGGTTTTGCCACCAAGTACTAAGTCATGTTTTGCAGAGGGGTCAAATACTTATTTCCCTCATTAAAATGCAAATCAATTTATAACATTTCTGACATGCGTTTTTCTGGATTTTGTTGTTGTTATTCTGTCTCTCACTGTTCAACTAAACCTACCATTAAAATTATAGACTGATCATATCTTTGTCAGTGGGCAAACATACAAAAATCAGCAGGGGATCAAATACTTTTTTCCCTCACTGTATATATGTATACACATATGTATGTATGTGTGTATGTGTGTATATATATATATACAGTGAGGGAAAAAAGTATTTGATCCCCTGCTGATTTTGTACATTTTGTAAGATCTTTGCAGATCTTCTCCAAGTCATTAAGGTTAAGGCTGACGTTTGGCAACTCGAACCTTCAGCTCCCTCCACATATTTTCTATGGGATTAAGGTCTGGAGACTGGCTAGGCCACTCCATGACCTTAATGTGCTTTTTCTTGAGCCACTCCTTTGTTGCC